TGCCCTTAAAAATCTACGAATGGAAATATTTGGGAATCGATATCTGAAGTCACGTCGTATTCTGAATAAACGAAAAACCAAAGACATAAAAGATGGCAATGGTTTTCTAAATGCACTTACAAACAGCACGTACCTATACAGCTATGCCATTTCGACTTGACCGCAAACACTAACCGTTATATTGAGTCGTTTTATGATTAGAGGGTAAAAATTAATGTTTAGTAGCACTCTGAAACACCATGTAGCCAGTGAAACTGCGCAATTTCAAGTGGCCATCAAAGACTAGCCGTTCCTATCAAGGCGTTTTATAGTCAGACGGCGAAAAGTAATGATTTAAAGTGCTCTGAAACAGCATGAAGTGAAGAAACTACGCAATTTCGACTTGACCGCAAAGATTAACCGTTCCTATCAAGGCGTTTTATAGTCAAAAGGCGAAAAAATAATGATTTAAAGTGCTCTAAGCAGCATGCAGTGAAGAAACTAAGCAATTCCGCAAAGACAAACCGCTCTCATAAAGTCTGTTTTTATGAACTAATATATAAATGTTGCATTCTGTTTTTCAAATACTAATCATCGAGATTTTAATAATAATAAAATAAAAAAAAGAATCTAATTTCACCAAAGTTCGGAAGACTATAAAAATGTTATTTCAACTTTTTAGTCCCACATGTGGCGAAGTTTTCTGAAAGTAATTCAACATTTTCAGACAAAGTATTAAAAAATGCAGGTGAACTCGGGTTTTCTCTAATAATATATAGCTTAACGTTTAGGCTGGGACTGACATTCTGTACATTTATGTATTGTATTCGAACCTTCCAACCTCGACTTKGAGTTATTGTGACTTTATTACTAAATAATTAGAAAGACGTTTACGTCTTTATAAATCAATAAATAAAGAAATAATGAAAAACAAAAGGAAATAGGAAGGAAATTGGCCATCTCAGATGAAAAAAACATTCATAATACACGTGCCATTCTAGACCATTCTCTACAAGTCACATGGCAGGCAATTGGAACATTGGAAATGACTACACAACTTTTGCCTACAAACATCGCATGCAACCTGCGTAAGTCATCCTTACAACATGTCCACAACTGTCGTTGGGATTTTAAACAATTGCTTAATAGCGGGCCCCATTCACGACAGTTTTAGCCATGTTGTAAAGGCCGATTTAGACCACACAACTTTTGACTACAACCATCGCATGCGACCTGCGTAAGTCATCCTTACGACATGGCTACAACTGTCGTGAGGCTATTAAGATGTTTAAAATCCATACGACAGTTGTAGCCATGTTGTAAGGATGACTTAGGCAGGTTGCATGTGATGGTTGTAGGCAAACGTTGTCGTCTAATTCGGCCGTTATGAGGTAGGCAGCCTTTAAAGATTAACTCGCATGTTTTTATAGGTATTGTTGAAATTTAAAGAAATTTCTTGAGAACACAGTCAATAGTACTTTGATTATTTTGAGGCTGAAAAGGGCGACCCCAATGATAAGTGCCTAAATTTGAATCCTAATAAGTTTTCATCAGAAAGGTACTTAATCTTAAAATTCAAGCCTATAACAGGTTCTTAAAACCCAGGTTCTTATACGTGGGTTAATACTGTATACAAAGAGATTATTTCTATTAGTTTGTTATGACCTGCATTTTTACAGTGTAGTCTAGGGACAATAAGTCAATCTTGAAAAGCGAGCTCGAAAAAAAAGTCAAACAGTCGTTTAAATGGATGATTGCCTTTTCTTGAAGTGTTTATTTCTTAGGTAAATTGTAAGTGCTCTTATGTTTCTAGTGGAAATTCAACAGTTTTACAAATAACTTAATTATCGTTCGTCATGTTTATCAGCCTAAGGGTTGAAAGCTTGTAACGCTGCTTCGAGGCAAAAACCATTCGGAAATAGACGACGAATACGACGAATCAACTCTAAAAATTGGAAACTTATTTGTTCTAGACCCGTCCTGAAATTACAGACCAATTTATGAAATAAAAATACATAGTGATATAAGCAAAACCTTGCTCTAGTTATTATCCCTTTATACTATATGAATGGAGATATTGTAAGATTCGACCTTTAAATCGATGGATGGAAATGGATTTTCGAAGTCACCTCAATTTCCATATATGAAAAATCTAAAATACGACCGCATTGAATGCTGGTGTACCAAGGCCTTTTAAAGGGCTACCTACTCCTACGAAAAAGCCACAATTTTGCAACTGCAATAGTAATTCCAACATAATATTTTTTTTTTAATATTTGAAACTTGACGGGAAAAGCTTCTTTGTCTTGGAGTCATCTAAAGTCAGAGAAATTTCTGTTCAAAGGATAATATAATAGGGTTAAGTCAATGACGTCATCCACTGTACAAAATCTATACCATAATATTTAGGAACATTCATCATAATTTAAGAACAATATTCAAAACATGCCATGTTTGGTAAAGACAGGTCGATAGGTTCACTCAAATTTTAAAAATGCCTGAATTTTCATAAGCGTTACTTTGAGCGGTTTCCTATTCTTTTTCTAAGTTTCTTTGTTTTTTTTTTAATTTTATTTTGTCGCATTTTTTACTTCTGGCATCGCGTAAGAATTTAAAACCCAGGAGAGTCACTGAAATTACAAGCTAAAGAAAACTTATTGAAAAGAAAAGAAAATCCATTGAAGGTTAGAAGCTTGGCATTATAGAACGATTGTTATGTTGTGATGTAAATTGTCCAACATTCTTCTCATCGTTATCTGTAACTATGTAATATATATATAACTATGAATAATCCTGAATTATGGAAACCCTTCTATACTTATTAAATCATTTAGCAAAAATAACTCAATAGTTAAAAAAATATCATTTATACAGCTACTATAAAATGTATTGTATAACTATCTATGAAATACCTATATTATGTAATCTTCATGACTTAAAGTTATTATTCGAGGTTCTTCTATATAGTGGAAGTAAGAAAAATAGTTATTTTACGACATAATTTACTTTCATATGTAATTATATAATAAACAGAACATTACATAGTCGCTTGGAGATACGAATTTTATCTTCTTGTGTTCACTACGCTTACTCGTGAGAGATCTTTTCAACACTCGAAGATGAAATGCTTATCTCCGCGCGCCCACGTAATGTCTTCTATATCTGCAATAGTAAGGCACTTTCTCTAGCACTAGTTGCGTCTTAACCGTTTCTGTGTTAAYTGTATCCAGATATATTTAAACTCCATATTCATATTTGTGTTTTTCACTAAAAAGAGGATCGTTTCCTTCTAAGAAATATCCCGATGCAGTAAACGTTTTTTTCTTATGAAAGATAGACCTAACGTTATGGAATAATACATGTATTCGAAAGTATGATGAAAGGCAGAATAATCTGATAATTTGAATGATACGTAATAAGTAATACACCTTTCAAAGAATATGGTACGTGTGTTATTTCTTCTTTGTGGGAGAAAAAGAAGAGATATCATTTTAAATTTTACACAATTGACCAATTCTTTGTCTTTCGTTTAACACAAAGAAACGTARATATAAAGCATAATGGCATAATTTTTGTTGTGCATTTGTGAGTACATATGTTTGATCCTTGCAATTAGAGTAAAGACGATTACAGGTAGATTAGGGCATTAACCTAGTTCGATTAATACACCTTAACAGGGATTAATTCCGTTGTTTTCCTTTGGGTGTATAGACTATTACACCTAGACTATTAGATTTCCTATCCCTGGTTTGAAGTGCTTATWTTAAAGTATAAAATATTCAAGTGTTACAAAAAAGATGGATTTCACAACTTTGGARATTTTATACGTCTTCGTTTTCTGCGGTAAATGATATATCGTTTCATCTYTACCGTTTAATTATAAATCCAGAGTCAGCTGTGCCAGATACATTTTATAATGCTTGCTTTATCGTCCTAAAAGATAGATAACCTAATACTTACTAACGTTGCAGGCCTTGACCCTCCATTAGATTGYGAAAGATAGGACAACAGAACTCAAAAACGACTAAGTTACACAACGCTGTATAAACCAACTCCTTGATACCACACCGAGTGATATTGTCGGCTAACACTTCGCTAGAACATTTTAAAATAAACAGACTTGAACTACTTATATACCGTCCATTATTCTCAAGTCACCAATATGGGCTTATATACAACGTGTCAATCATTTCGAGAAATAGCCATTGAGACTTTTAGCCTGAGGCACGCCCACTTTTCCATAATTGCCACTTAATAGAGACACCGCATTCGTGATTCTTGCCTGTATTTCTGGAACCTCAAGGGACTTTTCGTGTCATTTTCCACGAATAAGTTTAGATGACGTGTATGTGTGTGTGTGAAATATGAGTTGTCAAATGTGTGTTATTGAGAAATCCTTCATTGAAAAGAATATAGTTATTTTTTTTATACATTAAATTATGTCTGGATGTTTTAATAAGCTGCTAAAGAGGCTAGATTAATTTTATTGTGTTCTATTGTTAATTTCGTTTTTGTATAAAACGAAAGAAAAAAGAAAACAAAYTTCTCTTATAAGATATAAATATAAATTTGGGGATGTGTGCTAGTAAAAAGAGTGSTTTTCATTTACCTAGGAAGTACACTTTAGCGCACTCCAGTTCATATGCTYCTCATTTGACACGTCTTCATTTGTCTTTTCCGTGTATATATCACACTTAATTATAYCTGACTATTAAACTCTGTTTCACAAGTTTATAAGTGGCACTCTAAACCCGTGAAAAGCATCTTACACTTTATAAATCTTATTATTCTGATCTCCACATGTGAATTAAGCTTTAGACTGTGAAGTACGCGATGAAGGAAACGAGACGGAAGTTTTTTTCTTTTGTATTCTGCTTTCTTCAATGAGTTTCCTTCGCCGCTTCCTTCTCTGTTATAAACTTCTGATCAACCTGGGTTGTATTTAAAATATTGTTTTTAGAAGCTCAACGTAATGGTGAATAATTAGCCCGAATTTATTGCTAAATCGTRTGCACTTTTCCACGTCCATTTCCTTGTACCTGATTAATAGTACTGTTTTTCATAACGGTAAACTTCACCATTCAAAAAACTGCTTAACTTATTTTTTATTTCTTTGATTTTCCTTTTTATTATTTTTTCAGAGTTTATGTACACAAATTTCTAAGTATCATAATTTTAATTACTTGTGAACTTCTTCTTTCTATTGTAAAGTTATTAAAACGCAAAGGAGAGCGCGCCAATAAAACCTGTATACATACTGATCCACTGAACTCGATAAGACAAAAGAATGACTTGTACAACTGATAGTAATACCATGCAGTATACTCAAGCTTATTTTCATTGGCTAATTGAAAAGTACTCTACAATTCCATGTACCTAAACTATCAATACTTTATCCTATATAGCCATGCGACGTTTAAAATGCAAATATTGATATGAAAAGACTGCATTATTTTTTTTCTTTTATTGTTTTATTCTTTCTTTGTTATTTTTTCAAGAATTTATGTACACAATTTTCTAAGCATGGTAATTTTGATAACCTGTGAACTACTTCTTTCTATTCTAGAGTTGTCTATAAAAAAATGATAACAAAAGTATTATACTC